TTCGAAAGTATTTCAAATGTGCTACTGTCAAGTCATTCTTCTTCTTCATAAAAATTCTCGCATAGCGTCTACGTGTGGTTTTCGGGAAGGGTGTAGTTAAAGAAAGATTGAGGGTAAATCTGCTCTCGTCGAAAGTAACTGCCCTTTTTATACATATGCTTCCAAGCTTAAAAAGACTACAAATCTTATTCCTGAAGAAAGTCGCAGTGCGCTCAACATGGCATCTATATGCGCTCGGTATTGTAGCATATCATGGAAGCGCCAGACAATATCGCTTAAATTGACAGTTTTACGACAAAAAATTAAAATTTCGTCTGAACTTGTTGAATGATTTTCTACTGCGCCATTCGTCATTGGTTGAGAAATGAAGGCTTTGTAGTTTATGCAGACAGCTTCTCATAGTGTTCTTTTTGCCAAAGATGCTGCAAAGAACGAAAACATTACAGTTTACAATAGGAAAAAAGACATTTTACAATGAGCCATAGAAGTATATGGCAGGTGGGGACAGCGAGGGAAATATTCGGAGAGTTTTTTTTGCATCGGTAGGGCTATCTAAAGTAGCTTTCAGCACAAAACATACTCACTTCAAATAGCGTTTTTGGTTTTCGTGTAGACGCAAAAGACCAGATAAGCCAGAGATGTGGATGGGATGTTAGCATAGACGGCAGCGCTAGGCTAATATTCAGAGGTCGTGAACATGCTTCGCAAGTGCTACACCAACCCACGTGGTGACGCTTAGCGATTCGCCAAATTATCGACAAAATGGCCGATCACATTGAATAGAGATATTCGCGTGCGAATAAACAAACCAATGACACTCCTGGGTGTATCGTGGAGGATCTAAGTGTACTCGTTGGATATCTAGAAGCGAAAGCGGACATCACTACAGGTTCGGAGCCTATACACGATGCGGCTCTATTGACTTTGATGTGGCATACCCGTTCGGGAGGGCTGTTGCTATATGCTTCGCACGTATGCAACAGCTCTCAAATTTTAGCTTCTGGTAAGGTTTTTTTACACATAACCCTTTCAAAACTTCAGTGATGCAAGGCGTCTCAATATTTAAGGCTTCGGATAGATGGTGATAATGTACGCTTCACGCTTTCAGGCTGCTGTTTATCTGCGACGACGAAACATCCCAATATTTGCTCTCATTAATACATCATTTCGCTACGGCCAACATTCCTGGTAACCAAACGTATTTACAAGAGGAAAATGTACTGTAGTGGGGTAAACTGTTAGACGAAGAAAGCAGTGAGTCAAAGCCGCCTCAAAAGCGAGGGAGAAAGCAATAAAGCATTTTCGCTGAAGTTATAGCCTCCCGCTCTCAGCCAGACTGTGACGTTAAATATGATCAGCCACTCCATTCACCGTGAAGTCGCTGCGTACGCTAATCCATCGCCGAATCTGGCGATACAGTGGATTACCACTTGTGGGATTCGGCTGTTGGAGTCGCTAACCAAGGTGTTTGCTCACAGTGGAGCGATAACAAAGAAATATCAGAGCGTAACCAAAGTATTAGCTGGGTACACCGGGATGTAGTAACGACCATATTTCATGATCTCCAGCATCGTTTGACGAGATCAGAGTTTAGTCAGCTTGTAACGCTTCGAGGCGAGATCTATTGTCACGTACTTGGTTTCCAGGATGTCCGATTTAATGTCGCACAAGATGTTGTTGATTGCACGTTTGCATCGCTGTTGACGTACCGGAATGCGGTTAGCAGTGAAATTGAAAACGCCAGCAGCATCTCGTTCGCATCGCGCTACATGTGCGAGCTGTAGCGGGGTCATAAACGCTCGTCTTGGCTCCGAAATTGCGACAAGAAAATGATGTGAGCATGTAAGGAGGGGGCACCTGAGAGCTTACTGACAGACGGTAAATGTAACGGGGTACGTAGCCCTAAGTGTACCCTGGTTACATGAAGTGTGACACTTCACACTTCAGGAGTATGACACGTCGTACTCCAGGATATTTGGTACAAGGTACCAAGGTCGTTCAAAGCCAACCATTGGTTAAATGACATTGCATTTCATAGGTAACTAACAGTTCGTATTAAACCCAAACTTAACCTACCTATAAATATACTCAGTTTACAATCTACCTTATTTAGGTCACTTCGCTCTCTTTAATTGAAGAGGGGACCTGTGATCACTGAGAGTTTGTATACTCTCGGAAGATAACTTCCTCTAGCGCAAGGTGCTGTGTGACCCCGTCACAGCAAGGATCTGCTACTAAAGCTGCCGTCTACTTCACCGAGCAATGTGACCATGACCTGCCTAACTTCCGCACTGTCAACCATGATCAGCTCATGAATCGGCCTCTTGTCGTATACCTCCTCTTCCTTCAAGGGTCGGGTAGTCCGCGGCTGTTCAGGGAGTATGGTCTTGTTCAGTGGCTGCAGGAACGGTAGATAGGAACACTAGAGAGTTGAAAATAAAAGTTTGTTGATTGGCTTGGCTTCCTCTTGAGTAGAAGGAGGGAAATATAAGACTGAGAGCTAACCGGAAGAGAGGCCTAACGCCTTCTCGACCTTACATACACTACACTACATATTAGAAAAAGGAAGGATTCACTTCGTTTGTTGTCGGCCTTCGTGGGACAACGGAGAGCTTCTGGGAAGGGGCTTGATGTCGCGAGGTGCTTTTGGTCCCACGACGCCAAGACTCCGGCGTTCTGGGGCCCCTTATAATGCCACCCTAACGGGCTCGGTCCGGGGCACGTGCGTGGTTGAGTTCAACGGGAACCACCCTGACGGGACGGCGGAGTGAGGAGTGATTCCAGGGTCTCGAGTCATCCCGACGGGAGGCAGAGCTCCTGGAATGACCCCTCCGTTCCCGGGTACGGGACATCCTACCCCGACTTGTCGTTTGTCGTC